GGACCACCAGCTATTTTGCGCTAACGAAACCAACATCGATATCGAGATACTTCAAAAGTTACTGCAAAATGGCCTATATGATGACAATAATGACAAGCTTAAGTGTTTTTTAAAGTGCATTTACTTAAAGATCAGGATTTTTGATGAAACAGGTTTGATAAATAAATTGGAAATGAGAAAAACAGCGGGAACTCAATGCTAAAATATAAAGTGCAGTAATTGAAAAGTGCCAGATAACAAATTCAAACCTGTGCCAGCAAGCGTTTGAAATGTGTAAATGCACATACTTTACTGTCAAAATGTTTGATACCAGAAAATAGGTTAATTCGTGAAGTGGACGGAGTTGCACCACTACATGCTTCTAATGTTTATATAATAAAACCATAGAAATAGCGCAAGTGTATTAAAGTCACTAAGATTTGTTGTAAAATCCTTCTTTTTCCTCTTCTTGCATATAAAAATGTATTTTCAGAAAGGACTTCACTTTAGTTCGATTATCTCTCAAATCGTTTACCCATAAAATTTATTACATTTAAATTAAATCAGCTTATCGAGCAATATGAAGTTAGGAACATAAAAGCGAACTGGTTCCATCAGTGGCAAAACATAAGCGTAAATGAATATTTGAACCAAAAATATCGGAACACTTCCATTCGAAAATGGCAACAATTCTTTTTTAAATTGCAATAATTTCGAAAGGAAACAGTGTAACGGCCATTCTAGCCAAAACTGTATCTTTTTCCTAAAAATATAACAATTCCAATAAACAAACAATGACGTTTCAACCCTGCGTGATACTACTAGTATCCATTGTTGCAGTACAGCATTCAAAACGACGGACACCGCCTTCTGTTTTGCCGGTACTTTGTTTCCAGAAGGAGTGGGCAGGCATAAATAAAATTCCGAATGGATATCTGTTGGCGTGAGGCATCAGTCGCGGTACCAAAAAAACCAGGAAGACTGGCATCTCACGTTTCTTCAGGTTCCCATCGCGCTGCTATGATTGGCTACTGTCATTTCTTTTTACTTACTTTATGTGAGCAGGGTTATCCTTATTGCGTAGTGGTGACATTGTCGAACATATATTTTTCCGGATGTTAGGGTGTTTTAGAAAAGGAACGACATTATTGTCAGTATAATTTATATTTATATTTATTTTGTAAACTACGACTATATGATTACTAGGGCGTTGTTTATCCTTAGATAGGGTAAATTCCGTCCTTAAACTTGACGTAAGCGATTTACATTTTTAATAGACATTTTTTACAGTATAATACGTGCAATTACTAATATCGAAAGCTTGTTCGCACAGGTTGGCATTTCTAAACTGACATTTTGAAACTACCATGTCCTGAACTTCCAAATTTTCTGTTCCCGAAGTTTTTCTCATTGTCTCTTCACTAATTTTACCAGTTTCGTCAAATATTTTCAATTTCAAATACAGGCATCGTAAACAACACTTCAAGTTATCGTCGATCTTGTCATAAACACCATGGTTCAATAAACTCTCCAATTTATTTGGTTTTGTGTCCGTTTCTTCGAGGCAGATATCTCTGTATTCTTTAATTGTATCTTGATATTGAGAAATAACCGCAGCAAACTTGCCCTAGGTAAGCATAGCGATTAACCATGTGGAAAACATCATAAATATATCTACCTACCCGAGCCTCACAATTTGCAGAAATAAAAATAAAACACAACACAATTCGCATCATCTTAGGTCACTTAATAACAATATCGGCGCAGGGGTAACCTTTATACCACGATATACGTCCACTAGTAAATAATGATAACTGTTATGACCTTTTTTCTTTGTGGAATCGGTTCTACAATGCATACAATCTTTAGGTCATATAATAATTTGTAGTGATTCAGAACTTCCTGATCAATAGGTAATTTAAAACAAAGTGATCATTAATTGCATCAGCATCTATTTGAAGATTGCTAAATTCATTTTGACGGCTATCCTTTATATGCAATCGTTTGAGTTCGGACCATAATTGTTTGGAATTTTTTGTTTGAACAATGAACTTAAAATAGGCTCGCTTTTCAGATTTAATTGCATTGTTAGTCATATTTCACAGCTGCTTAGAATAATTCCAGCTTTCCCCAGAAGGATTATGTGTGTGCCTATTTTTAGCTTTATCCCGTAAATTCATTAAAAGCCTAACATTGCCAGGGTAATGGTTTTCTGGAAAACGCTACTCTACACCAGGGAGCATGTTTATCGAATAAGGCAATTATGCAGTTATCGAAAAACTGAATCTTGTCATTGAGATTTGCCAAGTTGGTACAAACGTTCAAGAGATAAGTTCTGCAACTCTTCATAAAACAAAACAGTATTGAAGCGTTTATAGTTGAAAAGTATGAATAGTAGGCACTTTTTGTGTAGAGGGAAATAATACATCGCAAAATATCAGTTCATGCTTATAATGCTTATAATTGAATCATCTGAGACAATAATGAGACCCAATAAAGCAGCTTTGTGTAAACCAATTCTAGTAAGCTTAGAGACTAACTGCTTTAAATTAAACTACTCAAGAGAATTAGCTAGGAAGAGGGATGTACCTGGATGATCAAGATCTGAAAGGTCAATATTACAGTCCCCTAAGCAAACAAAATCGGCGGCCAATGACGAGCACAGAATAATCGAATCTTCTAATTCGTTTACAAATCCTTTGTAATAATGATTGGGGGGCCTGTAAGTAAACTACACCGACAACAATTTTAACACCTTTTCCGCTTACCAAACACCACAGTTCTTCAATATTGCCAGCTGTCTTTATTAAAGTCATACTTAATCCCTGCTTATAGTACCAAGCGACCCCGCCACCCCTGGTCGGACGATCATTCAGTAGTATTTTAAAATCGTCAAATTCCAAAACGTTAGAATTAATTTCCCTTGTCAGCCAGGTTTCCGAAATGGCCAAAATATCTAAATTGTGCATGAAGATTTTCTCTTTTACATCGGATAATTTAGGGACTAATGAACGTACATTTATATGCCCAATTTTTATATTCCTGTGCGACCTGCCTAAAACAAAACAAATTAATTAAGGTGACAATACACAAAAAGAAAAAAAATTGAATTGATTAATTATGCTTTAAAAATTAAAAAAAAATAAAATAAGATGTGCGCTCTAGAAAATGAGAATAATTTTCCGGCAAAAGTTTGCATAATTTAAGGTGAGATATGGCAAGGTAATCTAAATTAAATTAACATTACATTCGCAAAACAGGAGAAAACATGAACTAATTAAACTTCGGGACATCATTTAAATCAGCGTCAGTAGTCATCAGCCGTATTTGGTTATTAATTTTACAATACAATTTGCCATCCCTGGACCAGCAGTTCTTGTCCCCAACCTTGCATAGTAACTCTCTAAACAAGGATAGTCGTTCCTTAGTTAGATCTTCCTTGCTAACGACGGGCGTCCCCTAAAGAAGGTTCATATCCTTTAAATTTATAATTATAATCGGATGTGGTTTGTCACCAAACTTCCCAAACCGATGCAGGCGGTCTATATCACCTTTATCCAACTTCTTCCCCAACCCATTCTTGTATTCAATAGTGAGATAACCTTGTTCGTTAAAACTTCGTTATCTAATTTACGATTGAGCACAGTAGTTTTTTCCCACACTTTTTCATCGACGTAGGTTTTAAACTTTTCAAAAATCCTCTCGGAAATACTGGTAACCAACTTGTTGAAGAAGTCTCCATCTTCCAGCAGACCCTCGACTGCACCTGCCACTGCATTATTAATTTCACAAAGTTGCGTTTGTTCCCGTGTTTGAGGCATATCAATATATAGTAGAAATCGGAAAATTTGAATGACCCAAAATACAAGTATGAAATTGAGCGAGCACACAACAACTCGTCGTGTGCGCCAAAGACAAAATTTGCAACGTGTTGCATACTAGGTTTTTTTGTAATTTCGTCAAGAAATTGATAAAATGTGAATTATTATAATGGGGAAAGAACTTTATTTTAAGATTGAATACTCATGTAGAATGCAGAATAGTTCTTGGACCAGGAGTTCACAAACATTAAACGATGAACTGGCAGTAGAAGATTGTCCTTCTTACAGGAATTACTTGAGGATGAATACAATCAAAAATTCCTCATAATCTGTTAAAAGTTACTAAAATTTGAAGGAAAAATGGAACAGGCTCTAAACATTATAAAAATAGGACAACGTTAGGTTCCTAAAATAATTACAAAAAAATTGATCAAAGTTGATGCATGAAATGTTCATTTTTTTGTTCCTAAAAAAGATTTAAAAATTGACTAAATAAGTGATCGTTGCAAATGGGTGTAAGTTATAAAAGAAAATGATTATTGTATGTGGAGACTATAATGTAAATTTTGTAGGTTCGAAGTCAGTCTCACCAAGTTCTCCAAGGATTTAGTTGTACTATTGTCTTTTTGCAACTTATTAGTTCCGCAGATACAGAGCGGGCACCCATTCTGCAACTAAAATCTATCGAAATTTAAATTTTGTTTAACACTCTACCATCACTTTGAATAAGTACTCCTCAAAAACGAATATGGGTTAAGACTTTCAACAGAAACATAAATTCAGTACCATAATCAATAATCTAGAAGAAAAGAAATATAAAACCTGTTTGAAGAGCTACAGCATATGTCTTTAAGCGAGGATGCTATACCAAATTCCTAGTATTAAGGTATGACATTCGAAAGGATCCACATCATTTCGATGCAAATGAAATGAACTACGTATAAGTAACGTATTTCCAACAAATGGTGTGAAAATTTTGACAAAAGTGCAAAATGCTCCTTCCAAATACTTAGTAATCCTGGACTTAATTCCTCCAATAGTTAACAAAAACATGACAATTCAAAATATCTGATGTAAACAACAATATTTTCTCACACACGTTTATTCAAGTGTTATGTATTAGTTATTTTGACAGTACATATCAGAACCAATTAAAAATCTTAAACCACGTATTCAAACTCTTATACGATAAACTATCACTATGGTATCTTACTATATACATATAGACAGGTGTCGACTACTCTCAGGTTAGTCAACTTAACCCTCTACGAAAAGCAAAAGCTACAACATGCTATTAACAGTCCTGTGTTTGACGCTACTGGCTGCTACTGCAACTTCGGCTGAGGTAAGGTTTCACTTTTTCACCCTAACATCAATTACAGTTTCTTATTTTATTTCAGACTTTCCAAGATGTCATTACAAATATAAGAAATACGATCCAAGGTATTAAAAGCAGCTGCTTCCAAACCGAAGGTGCGAATGAAAGCGACCTAGAAAATATACTATCGCAAGGACAATACAGTACTGGTCGTAACTTAAAATGCGCCCTGAAGTGCCTTTACGTATCTACAAATATCATAAGCTCAACCGGAGAAATTAACGAAGTAAATATGAAGTCAAAAACTGGCACTACAAATGTGAATATTCAAAATGCAGTAGTCGCGAACTGCGCAGGATTTACCAATGCCGATCTCTGTGACAGGGTATATGAAATTAGTAAATGCACCTACCGTACTATCCAAAATGGATTTTCGGCTGGATTAGGACACGATCACTGCGAATAATGTCAAAATGAAATTTCCTCCTAGCTTCATAATTTGGTTTAAGTGGATCGTACTTAAAAGTACACCCTCTTGAATAATTATTAAATATGGTTTATGTTGTAGTTTTATTATAATTGTTTAATATTGTTTCTCTTGTATATTTATTTCTTGTTATTTTGCATACATATTATAAGAGCTTAGAGGAATTTCCCGAATAAATAAACACGATTAGAGTAATTAAAGTTGTACGTCTCTAACTTTTTTTAACAAAATGTGGGATACTCAATCAAGGGCTTTTGATAAGTCTAGGAAAGTTGCCACGGAGTGTTTTCGCTTTTCAATGGATTCTAAAGGACCATTTATATAACTTGTAAATTACAAAACAAGATATTAGTTTCGGAGTGTTTACTTATCTGAAGATAAACACATTTTTCAATTATTTTAGATATAATCCGTAGGACAGATATGCGCCTATAATTGTGTACACCGTTGGTTTAGATTTTATAAACTATTTTTGAGGGAAGCAATCTAATCTCGAACTAGAATTTGAGATACTACTTCTAGTTTGAAGTTCTGTATTCGAGGTACATCTTTTGAATATATTTGAAACCACAACACGACTGCTCTTGAAATCTTGTCACCTCTTCTAGCTGCAAAGAAATATATGGAGTTCTTGAGGCACCGCATTCGAACGAGCTTCATTCGATTTGTTTCACTCGCGATTCTTCGCTTCACGAAAGAGCACAAACTTGTTGAGGAATTCTGGTTCATGGCATGGCAACCAGTTTGCTGCCCAATTTCTCACTGGGAACGAATGGCAGTTCCAATTATCAAGATGGCCCACAATGCTGTGTCCGACTGCGTGTTATTAGATTGCTTGAATCGCTTCAAAATTGACCAGTCTACTTTCACTTCCTCCATCATCACTACATCTAATTTTCAAGTTGTTAACAGAAAGAATGGACTCGAAACACTTGATGGAGCTTCGCGATGTTGGTGGGGTTTCAAAAGCAACGATTGGGAAGATGGCTGGAGCAGGAGTGACAGTACAGGAACTGAGAAAGGAAAGGCAGAGCAGGAAAGTCTAGGAGGTGTGTTTGGAAGTTGAAATTGACGTATTGGGCACCTAGTTAATGCGTTTCGACATTTTTATTACAGAAATAATGATTTTTGAATCCCACTTTGCTCATCTACGACGTCATCTAGGCGAGCTACCTAGGCTAACAAAATAACCATTTTTCTTTGTTTTTGCGTCACGGTGTTAAAGCAGTTCTAGACGCACAAACAAATTTCATATGGCGCCATTTCGGAATTATTCTAGATTATATACCAGATGGTATTTTTCGTGCTGATTTTTAAATTTCATAAAAATCGATGGGTTATATATAGCATACCACTTAAAGATTTCCATAACCTTACACTTTATTCAATGATATGGCCTTTACTGGGTTAAATGGTCTACCGAAAGCAATACAATACAAGAATACGATATAAAGTTTGGAGTATCTGTTTGAACTGCATGGACCAATTTGTTTTAATAAAACGATCAAGGAGAGAACCTTGAAATATTTATGACGGTAAAAATTACTTTTTTGGCAATGTGATCAAGCTTTGATAAAATATTAAGCAAACACCTTGAGCAACAAGCAAGTTTATTCAAGGGTATTGGTCGTAGTTATCTGATATACTAGAAACAAATAAAAATTTTAAACCACGCACCTAAACTCTTATACGATAACCTATCACTATCTTCGATGTATATACAGGTGTCAACTACTCTCACGCTAACCCTCTACAGAAAGCAAAAGCTACAGCATGCTATTGACAGTGTTGTGTTTGATGCTATTGGCTACTACTGCCACTTCACAGGACGTAAGGTTTTACTTTTGAACCGTAACATCAATTACGGTTTAATATTTGATTTCAGAGTTTCGGAGATGTGATTGCAAATATAAGACACACAATCAAGGATATTAAAAGCAACTGCTTCCAAACCGAAGGTGTGGATGAAAACGAGCTGGAACGTATACTCATGCTAGGAAAATATGACAGTACTAATCATGACTTAAAATGCGCCGTGAAGTGCCTGTATGTAAATACAGAAATAATGAGCTCAACTGGAGAAATTAATGAAGCAAATATGAAGACAAAAACCGGAACTTCAAATGTGGATATTCAAGATGCAGTAGTTGCGAACTGCAAAGGTTTTACGGATTCAGATCTCTGTGAAAGGACTTATAAAATTAGTAACTGCACCTACCATACTATCAAAAGTGGACTTACTGGACGCGAATAATTTTTATGAGAATAGTATTTGTGTATTTGTTATATTTGGTTTGCTTTTTGGATCCTTTTGTTCCGCTGTAGTTATTGTACCTTTATTATACATATTATTTAATATTATTTTTGTTAGAGTGGATTATGTCAATTTCATATTAAGTTGCGCACATATTTTAACAATACTTTAAAAGGATTTCCCGTTAAATAAATCAAATAAAAATGACGATTATTACTACCCAAGGATGTTATATAATACAGGATTGCTCGATCACTAAATTTTTTCGCCGCGTGTAGTGACGTCACTGGCGGACCCAGACGCACCGCATGCTTTGATTTTTCGATTTGTGCACCACTTTCATTTGTATTTTATATTATGTAAAATTCTAAGAGCTCCTTCTCACGATGCGTTTTGAAACGCTGCAGAGTGGAAATTTTCTTCGAAAAAAAGATACGCTTATGCGGAAATCCATTCCTCCCGATGAGAAATTAGCTTTATTTCTCAGATGAGTAAGAACTGAAATTTATTACAAGTCTTTTCAGTTCAATTTATGTTATAATTTTGGAGTTTGCTACACCGTGCTACAATGGATTTTACCACACAATATGAAGCGTTTAGCCTAACACGGCTTCGTTCGGTGGAACTACAACCCCCACATATCATCAGTAATAACAATCTTAAACATAACAAACTTAACTTTATATACAAAATATCAGTACACAAATATGTACGCTCTTTACTAAGGTAAATGATACACAAGTAAATGAACTCTCTTCAAACCAGACACCATTTTTTAAAAAAACGACGCCCCTTCTTGGTACGTGCGTTTTTGTTGCGTGAAGGCGCTTCTGAAAATCGCTTCGTGCTACTTATGGCGCTGCAAATCGCACCGTGTGAAGGGGTCACGCTACCAGCCGCTTCAAAAAACGCGTGGTAAAAAGGAGCTCTAATACATCCAAATGGATGTTATAGGTAGATATTTAAATTAGAAAATCTTGTCATTCCTCGTCTACAAGTCTACAAATTCTCCTTCGGTTTTTCGTATACTCAAAATTTCGTGAATCCATTTCATCCTGCGTTTTTGGTTTTTTTGCTCTTCATCATCCATGGAAATTACAGCTAAATCAGTTCATTTAAACTTTGTCCATTTTAAAATACCGATTTCTCGACGTTCTTTTTGCAACTGGCTAAAATAAGCACCAGTTGAGTGTAAAATGTGAATACTACCCTAAATTGTTATTACAGTCCAATACTGCACGTCGGCGTCCAAGCATTTTTGTTGCAATATAGCGTACACTTATACCCACAGTTAGGTATATCGCTAATGCAAAAACGTTGACAACTTAGCAAACTCAAAGAGTATGGTTACTCTTTGCTATAACTGTCAATTCTGACCCCAGGTCCGTTAGTGACGTAACATATTACTTAAACGCGGGCAACATTACTAGTATAGGGATCGAGCAATCCTTATATAGCATCCTTGATTACTACCCTACGAACTACGACTATCTATTGGCAAGTTGGTCTGGATCCTAAAAATCGCGAGAAGACAGCCTCTAGCATGGGATCGTCGGGTTTATGGCAATTTACCCTTTGCATTTTCTGTTGTTGGCCTGCCACGTCCGGAAAAGACTGCATTTGCCACAGTTGTCGCACATCTTAGCTTCAAAGAGCCATGGTTACAAATTCATAAAAGAGCTTCAGCTTCATCAATGAAGAAAGATTTTGTGTTAGCTCTAAACTGTCGAGTAAGATCCAGACTAAGAAGATTCACAGATGGTGGTCCGTTCAGTTATGATTTTATTTACATACCAGGATAAGAAAACCATGTTTCCAACAATTAAGAAGTCTAAAATTGAAGGAATTGCACGATCACATATAACTGGCGAAGTCCGACTCATGACAAACTGTCGCACTTGTGCAGATGTAAAGCCTAGGTTTTAGTTGATTTTAAGGACCCTGTCCCTATGAGTATACTAAAATATTGCATCAGTTGCATTTAATTTGTTAATTGTTGAATACCATTTTTAATGAAGATCTGCCATTCTGAATCCACATCTTGGAAAAGGAATTTTTGAGAAATATTCACTTAATCACAAATACAGTTTATCTCCAACGTCTGTACTCTATTAGAAACGTTCTCTGCTCTCTGCACTTCTCGGTTTATTCCAAAAAGCGTAGGTTTTCCAACCAAAGCAAATTAAATAGATACGGACAGACCTACGAATGATCTACAGTGTGGAACAGGATGAGCTGAATATGGTTTTTCCCTAGTAAAATTTTCAAAAGGTAGTTTTGTAATAAATCGATCAAGTGGGAGACGAACCATCATGGTTGCTTAAATGTAGGGATTTACATTGATTTAAATTAATGACGTCGATCTACTACTCCTGATTGACTTTACTGATTTCTAGTTACGCATAAGATAACACCGACACATCCTATCTAATAATTTTTGGATATTAATGAGCCAAGCTGCTGCATTTGTGTTGATAACATCAAACCCATTCGTAAGTTGACACCTACTAATCGCTACAGTTTCTCCGTGACATGTTAATTTCTTATCTTTATATTTAATCAAAAAGTATTACGGAGACATCTATTAACATGCATAATGTGGCTTCGTTTACATCCAGTGATCAATGGGAGATGATTTATTTTCCGACTAATACGATTAATTTGGTAAATATACTTGAAACTTGTTGTATCCTTAGAGGAGGCCACGCCACACCTTTATCCTTTGATATAGTATCGTTTTCAGTAAATGATTTTTGCAATAAATCTATAATATCTACCTATGTTTTTAAAAATGTTGAACTCGACAAATACTTTTTTACATTTAAATAATATTGATAATCACCTTTTCCTAGATTTTCCAGTTTTTTTCTACTTTTACATATGAAGAAGTGATTTACCTCACAACCGTTAGAGCCCCTACACTTACGAATATATTAGTGTACAAAATGCTGTCTCGCTTCAATAACAGAATTTATTTAAACAATTCCATTTTAAACAGATTCTAATCAGTAAAGGTTGTCGTTGTATTTAATAACACGTGTACGCTTAAAATGCTGTCTCGCTTCAATAACAGAATTTATTTAAACAATTCCATTTTAAACAGATTCTAATCAGTAAAGGTTGTCGTTGTATTTAATAACACGTGTACGCTTAATTTATTTAAATTCAGAAATTTTACTTTCCATACTTTTATTAATTTCTTTAAAATTGAGGAAAGGCGTCTGGCACGCCCTCTACGGTATCATGCAGATAGCAGTGTGGGGCTCCCACCTACTAAAACCCCTTCTCCCTTCTTTAGACTAGAGTTTTTCAACGAGCATCACTTTCGCGTTCTTCCGTTGCGCTCTCTATCTACCTCGTCAGGTCACATTTTCTCCCCTGTAGCGCTTACCATTTCCCTTCCCTTACCAGTTTTGGTACAATTTCCCATTTCCGTTCACTTTCAATCATGATTGCTACAATATTGGGTTCCTCTGTTAGGTACCTCTCCTATCTAAAGGACCACCAGCAACCTCTTACTCTCCCATCTTGAGCACTGAGTACGACATGTCCTCAGTCGTCGCGTTCCCACAGTCTCTACATTTATCATCAAACCTCTGTTTGAATTTATTGAGGTATACGCTGTTTTGACCGTGGCCTGTGAGGAACTGTCACAGTAGTTGATGGTACCGTGTTTTCCTAGTACCTCTGATTTTGAGTCGCCTGTAATTGTCTTGAGCCAGGACTGTCCCTTATTCCATTCTTGCATAATTTTCGCCTTTGTGTTTCCTTCTGCTCTTATGTTTAATTACTGGTAACTACCATAAGGTCCTTTGCAAAGGCAGTGCGGTATGCAGCTGCCACCGTTAGCGATGTTTTCATGTGTCATTTATCAGTTAAGTCTCTGGCGGTTTGTTTGCAGATCGCACCACCTTCATACCTTCTTGCAATACCTCACTGTTATCGACAGTCGCGTCTAACAACTTTTTCTGCCCCTCCCATGGTACGCCTCAGTTCCACATAATCTACCCATTTGCTCTACGATTTTCCCAGCCTTCTCCACGACTTTTCTCAGATGTTCGGTATATGACAAGCATTTATCGACCGTTACCGCAAGGATTTCTACTTTCTGTTCTAACTTATTTTTTCTCCATCTATGATGATTGCTCGCGAAACAATTATTCTTCTGCTGGCTATCAGAGCGGCCTTGGTTTTACTGCCCACAAGCCTCAACCCTCTCACAACCATCCATTTTGTGACCTCATTTGCAGCTATTTCAATTTTTTCCCCGCACTTTCTAGTCGTCGATCTACCGCCATTATTGTTACGTCGTCCACGTACGCTATCATATTTATTCCAGGTGCTACTCCCAGTTTTAGCACCCCGTCGTATGCGAAATTCCATAATAGCGGTCCCAAAACGGAGCCTTACGGCACTCCCCCGTAAATCTGTATGTTGCTGTTCATGGTAGCGCAACATTTTGTCTTTCTGTTAGATAGCCATGTAGGATGACCTGAAGGTAGTTGGGTATTCTTCTCTCGCCCATCTCTTATAATAGCCCCTGTGTAAGTGTATGTAGGGAAATAAATGCCTTCTGCACGTGCGTCCTGACTTGAACATTTTACTTTACGGGGGCACAAACAAACAGAATAAACGGTGTGTTTGGAGCATTTTATGTGTTCGCCACGTCCCCGGATACTTTTAATTGCATTAATTTCCAGTATTCTGGCAGATTTGAACCATGGATGATGGCAGCCTTTGTGCTGATCCATTCACTAACAAAGGAAAAGAAGATAAATACAAAAATATGACCGAGGCGCCTATTTTCAAGGCATGAAATAGTGCATTACTAACAGGACAATGACTATTTCATTTTTCTTAACTTTGTTATAATATAAAGCATGTTTGGGATTCCATAATACAGGAAATGTCTCACAGAAATCAACAATTTCAAACATTTTTCTTTATTCCATTCCGGTGATTCACTCATTTTCGGACTGCGAATGCTGCAAACCGTCCATTGCATTCTTCGTTCCTCTCCCTTTTCTAAATCCACATTCCGATGGTGAAAGTTCTATGTACGTATCGCTCTAATCTTTTGACCAGTACTCTCTCCATCAACT